TGAGTTTGCTCTGAAAGTGCAAATAGAAAACTGTAATCACTTAGTGCATGCCAAAATTTAAAAAATTAATTTAATCAAAACCGATCATGTGTAACAAAAGAGATGAAAATATGAATGGAATTTGGGCACATTTAAATACTTAATCCTAAATCTAAAATGATTCAGTAAATAAGCCAGACAGAAAGAGTTGAAGAGGTGGAGAAATGATGCAAAGTGAATTGAACCATAGAGAATTTTCTAGAGGAATAAGCCACTGAGCGACTCTAAAATATCTTGAGAATTTTTATTTCATTCAAATTCTATTTTTATTTCTTGGAATGAGCTGATGGGTTCTGACCACTTCATTTCTACGTGGGGTATAAAATAATAAGAGCAACCAACCTGCTGAGAACTCAAAGCCAGATGGTGTATATATGTGTCATGCTGAGTTGATGGTTAGGAAATGCCAGCTCTGCAGAATGGTTGGAGCCAAGCAATACTTCAAGGTAATCCTGCTTATGATCCACTTGTGCATCTCCACATACCCTTTACCTTTTAAAGTTAGTTTAATGAATTTTAAATTGCAGTGGACAGCGATATGTCTGTAGGTAACAGAAAAACACAAGTAAAATGTCTCCAATGTGGTTTCTTAACTGTCAGCTCAAATCGAACTCCAATCAAAGTGGCAGAAATCTACAGTGATTTAACAGTATTGGCACACTTCTTCTTAGTCAAGTAATGAAAAGTCCATCCATTCCCCAGGGTTTGATAGACTGTTTTGTAATTTCTAGAAATTTTCTTTTGGTAATGTGAGTTAAAGACAAAGGCTTTTTTGTTTCTGGTGCTGAGCAGGGAAGCCAGGGCCTTGTGCATACTCAGCAAGCACTCTAACAGTGAGCCACAACCCCAGCCTGATAATATGAGTTGAAGAAACAATAACACAATCCTCCAAGTCCTTATCTGTCTCCTTATATTGAGACACTAGAGAGTTTTGTAGCTCCGCCTTTTCCTGGGGGAAGGTCCTCTGTAGCAGTTCCTGTGAGGTAGGGGCCATCCTGTAGTCTAAAGCAGTGGAACACTAGCAGAGAGGTTGTGTTAGCTTTCCACTGTTGTGACCAAGTACCTGGGACAAACAACCTAAAGGAGGGAAGATTTCTTTTGGGTCATGGTTTCAGCGGTTTCAGTCCATGGTTGATGGATGCCATTGCCGTGGGTCTGTGGCAAAGCAGAATTTGACGGTGGGAGAAACTGTCCCTTTCAAGGACGTACACCCAAATGATCTACTTCCTCCAACTATGCACCATCTTCTGATATTTCCACCACTTTCAGCAGTGCTACCAACTTGGGTTCAAGTCTTTTAATACATGAGCATTTAAGGGATATTGAAGACCAATCCACAGAGGTCCTTGAACAGTAACAGAGCAGCCAGGAGGTAACTGTGAAGGGATCAGTGTGTTAGTTGACACAGTGGATAAGAAGATGTTGCATCAACTATAGGAAAGTAGACTTCATTTGTATCTGTGATACACCATACACAATTGGCAAAATTTGGTTAGACTATTACATGTATTTTTGTACAAGTCTTTTATTTTTCTTCTCTCCTAGAATATGAGATGCTGTTTCTTCCCTTTGTTTTTCATCTTAAAGTTCCCTCATGTCTTAGTTACATTCTTATCACTGGGACAAAATACCTGGTGCAAAATAACTTAGAAGAATTCAGATTTATTTTGGCTCAGTTCAGGTTTATTTTGGCTCAGAGGGAATCGGCAGAGTAATGTTGGAGAAAAATTTGCTCAACCCATGGCAACCAGGAAGCAGAGAGCAAAGGGATATGCTGAGGAGGGAGGTATACACTTCCAGGTCATGGCCTCCAGTGACCGGCCTCTCCTGGCCAGGCCCCACCTCTGATAACACATTCAGCTATGAACCGTATCAGTACAGCATCCCCACAACCTAATCTCCTTCCACAAGCTCCACCTCTGAACATATGTGGCTTGTGTGTGGGGGGGCATTCTAGATCTAAACTATACCTCCTATTTCTAATCAATTCCTTTTTAAATCTTCTTAAAAGTATCTGTCCCCCAAGAATTATTTATATTAATTATTTATTTGAAAAAATGTTGGGTAATCTATCTTCATAATAAAAGTTTCTTCTGTTTTGTAAGTCTGATATATAAGTACAAACATAATTAAGATTCTTATGCCTTCTCGATGAATTGACCTTTTTATCAGTTTGAAATGTTCCTGTTTCGTTGATAAGATCTCTATCCATATAGTTGGAGACAAAGAGTGTTTGGGATTTTTCAAAGTTTTGAATATTTGTCTATGCATAATGAACCGAAGTCTAAACACAGAATTCATTTATGTTTTATATGCATCTTATATAGATGGTAATGTATATATACCTATATACAATAATGTATATATACCAAATGTATATAACACTATATCTAATAACTGGTACACAAAACACAGTTTACATATTGTAGCCGAGGGGGTCGGGAGGGTCTTTTCTCTCTGAGGAGCCGTGAGGAAGCTGGGTGGTGTGCCCCTGGGCTTTGACTTGTCGCATGAAGTCAAGTGTGTAATTTTCTAAGTGTGACTTCATGATACCGCTCAGAATGTTTTCTTTTTGAGCATTTCAGACTTCAAATTTTCAAATCAGAGATACTCAGCCTGTAATATATATATATATATATATTTTTTTTGTTTTGTTTTGTTTTGTTTTGTTTTTCTCCGGTACTGAGAACCAAACTCACGACCTTGTGCTTGCCAGGCAGGCACTTTGCCGCTGAGCTAAATCCCCAGCCCCCAGCCTATAATATTAACAGCCACAAAAGTGTGCATTGCAGTATCTGAAAAAGTTCTAAGTAATTAGAATCACGTTCTGGCTGTTTATGGTGGGAAGGCAACTCTGGTAGGAGTCTAGTGAACTTGCCCTGTGGGTGCAGATTGAAAACTGTAATCCCTTTGTGCTCCCTGCATAAAGTTTCTTCTATTTTGAAGTAGAGTTGAGGCTCTTGTGCCTTTTTCCCGGACTCATTTTCTTCTCTGGAGGCACCTGAACTCAATGCTGTTCATCTTCGTGCATTTTTTAATATTCTAATTCATAAACCTTCATCTATGTATTTATCTTCCTGATTTTTAAAATTTATTTCAGTCGTATCAAAATATACCATTCTTTTGTTTCTTTTTTTAGTGTAAGTTTTTGCTGTGAAAGTGAAAAACCGATATGATTAGAGTTCTGTTGTCACTACAGCACAAGTCATTTATCTAGTCTACTATCAAACATAAGATTGCTTCAACATTTTTGAAGCAGTGAATGCTGAAGTGACCTTTCAGGAGATGGGACCGGTCCACTGCGCGGGATTGTGTTCATCCTTTAGCCACTAGGTAAAGGGGGCGCGTGCATCTGTAGCGCACCAGATTGCATCAGTGGTCCTCCAAACACTTGTCTGGATTTCTGTTCCCGCCATAGATAAGCTTTCTGTTTGCTCCCCATCCTCACAGCACTTGGTATGGGCAGAATTTAATTGTAAATCATTATTGTAAAATGTAAAAAATTGTAAAAAATTGTAAAAAATTTTCTAAGCATGAAGTTATTCTCTGAGTCATTTAAATTATTTGTAGTCACCAAAACATGGTGCTTGCTCACGCTTCTGTGTTGTTCTCAGAAGTGTTATTGTGAGCGTCTCTGACCCTGGTTCTTCTGGTTGTAGAAAGAATGGCAGCAAACTACAAGTCAGTGAAGCCAAAAACAAGCTAATTTCCAAAGAAAAATAGAACATTAACTGGCTAAGGTTGACTATTAAGAGTGGGATTTGGGGAGCTTCAAAAAACTTGGAGTAATAGGGTGGCTGTTCTAGTGCTGACCCAAGGGATGGAAATAGGTACTTTTTAAGGATTTTTGTTTTGTCCCTTTCTTCTGTGCCTGAGTAGGGAACCACTCACAAAGCTTTTCCAGACTTTTTCCACACCAATATGGATTTTTTTTTTCCAAAAAGAATGTTTTCTAAAGGGGTAATGAGTGAACAAGTCAGTTACCAGTAAATTACATCCAGTAGAAGCCAGAGCCCACCTCCCCAGTCTATCCTTGATACTAAATAGGTAAGACTCTGACCCCAGGGAAGCTAATTTTCTGCCTTTTCCATAATTTGGATTACTGTTTGCCTAGCTCTATTACAGTGCATTGCCTGTCTCCACTCATAGCTCTGAATCATCGATAATTTCATCTTTGCTTTAGGAATTTTGTAAATGATTGTTTTGTAGTGTTTCAGGGTTCTCTGCCTGTGGTGGTTCAAATAAAACACGAACGATGTGGTTCAGTTTGTAATGGATTTGGGAAGGTGCAACTGGTAGCTATTTGGGAAATGGCCTGAATATTTATGTTTATATTACTTTGGAGAGATTCTATTTCATAAATTTGAAAAATTTGAGGAGGAGGTCATTTAGTTCAACTTAGAAAATTGTCCCATGTCAGAGTCTGGATTACTGTGTTCAGCTCATGTCTTTATGACTCAGAGAGCAGCTTTCCACCACTTCCTTGAGTAGAGAAATGTGTAAGATTGAAGAGGTTTCTTCCTTCAGTTTAGACTGAATTATCGCCTTTATTATTCAGACTACCCTCATCCCTTTGTTTTCACTCCTTAGCTGCTTGCTAACTCCTGCGAGTCAATCTAGCACGACCACAGGTGTAATGCTTTAAAATCATGGCCATATCCATTGGATAACTAATAGTACTTTCTGCTGGGATTTTTTAGGTGCGGCTATGCACGCATGTTTTGTACCTGTCCTGAGGGGAGTGGGAAGGGATGTAAACAGTGTTTTTCAGATGAATTTTCGCACCTATCCTGGCAAGTTGTAAATATTTTATTATTCCCTACCTTTAAGACCAGCTCTTAAAAGGGACTTCTGATCTTTTCTTGCCCTGTGTTGTGTTGCCAATGTGTAGTTCATTTCTGTTTCACAGCTTGAGTCTTTTCAGCGCTTATTGACCAGTTCCGGCGGTGTTCTCCCTGCAGGTCATCCAGGCTGTCTTTTTCGGCATCTGCGTGCTGACTGACCTTTCCAGTCTTCTGACCAGAGGAAGTGGAAACCAAGAGCAAGAGCGGCAGCTCAAGAAGCTCATCTCACTCCGGGACTGGATGTTAGCTGTGCTGGCCTTTCCTGTTGGGGTCGTGAGTATAATGTACAATGTACTGAGCTGCAGGAGAATCGTGGGTCTTATCGCATTCTTGTGAGGAAAAGGGGCTTCTTACAAGAGATTTCTTGCTTTTAGTTGCGGTAGGGATCGAACCCAGGCCCTTGCACATGCTGAGTATCTATTCACCACTGAGCTCTACCTGTATAGCCTTGGGATTTCTGCCTTAGTTCACTGGGGCTGCCAGTACTGGAGCGGCCAACTTTATTTTCTCCCACCTGGGAGACTAGGAGTCTGAGATCAAGGTGTTGGCAGGATTGGTTTATTTTGAGGCTGTTCTCTCTTAGGCTTCTGGAGAGCCGCATCCTGCTGGTCTCTGTACATAGTGAGAAGTCTCACATCTTTTGCCGCCTATCCCGGTGTGTGTTCTTTTTCTTTGTTTTTTGTAAGGACACCAGTTTTATTGGATCAGAGCTCCCCAGAGGTCCCATTTAACCTAAATCACAGTATTAGGCCCAGTCTCCTAATACTGTCACATTCTGAGGCTCTGGGGTTAGGAATTCAACCTGAGAGTTTTCCTGTGAATGTAGTTCAATCCGCAAGTTTCTTAAGCAACCCACACTTACTCCTTGGGTCAGCTCAGTCCTTGTGAACCTGGGAAAGAAGTCAGCATGGACTCACTCACACTTTTCACTTCACTGCAGCATTAGCTGATATCACTGAAGTAAATGCCCCTTAATGCTTGAATCTGTTCTGGTTTCATTGATTTTCTTTGTTTAAGTTAAATTCCCTCCATGGCTCACGTTCCCTCACAGGTCTGTTGATTTTCCAGTGTCTGCACATAAGCCATGTTACCCTAAAGGCTCCATAATATTCTGTAGATTCCCACTTGTGCACTGCCAGGAGAAGAATGTGAGACTTCTTGTACGTCTCCAGTGGTGATGACAAGCAAGCGTGTGTTCCCTAATTCAGATTCAGACCTTTGTCTTGCTAGCTGATTTCTGGGAAGAATGCAAGCCCTCTGACGTGGCGAGTACCAAATCCAGGTTTCACTGTCAGAAGTCGGAAAGTTGTTCTTTACATCCTTGCAGTGGCTCTTATTCATATTTGCAGGTCTGTCGTGGGCAGAGACCTCCACATGCTTGGCACTGAACTGTCTCTTCTGCGTGCTGAGTTGTGTGTTTTGGTGGGAAGTAGCACTTAGCTCTTGAGAACAGTACCAGGGCCAGAGGAACTTTATAACCCAGTTACATCACTTCTTGTTCCTTCATTACATTGGATGAAAAACCTGAATTAATGGGTGCTTGGGTTGAAGCCATTGAGCAAATCTCTCAAATTCTATTTATTTATTTATTTATTTATTTATTTATTTATTTATTTATTTATTTATTGAGTACCGTGAACTGAACTCATGACCTCAGGCTTGCCAGGCACGCGCTTATGCCACTGAGCTACATCTCCGGTGCTCAAATTCTGTTATTAACATAACAAAAATAAATGCTTTCTGTATCATATCATTTAATATCTCTTTCTTTGGACTTAGTGTACAAAACCCATGTAGTTTCTCTGAGAGTGGCCATCCAAAAGAAAATTCCCATTGGCATAAATTGTAAATAAATACATGCTTTCTATACAAAACAATTACTAGAAAACAAAATCTGTGTATGTGTCTTTTTTGTTAAACCCCTGGGTTCTTTGAATTTCTCCAGGTATATCCCTGCCTCTGGGAGTCTTTGCTGGGTAGAAAGAATGTAGTAGCAGTACAGTTAAAAAGTAAACAGGAGTGCGTTTTCCCTTACATCTCCCTCTTCATCTGTCTTGTGGTGTCAAGCTCTGCAGGAGATGCCGGCTGCTGCTGGAAACGTTGCTCCTTTCTCAAAGGCTCATAACACGTGCACTTTAGATACTTTCGACACTGCTTTGGAGCAATTTTTCTCCACCTTTTTTGTGTTTGAGACTTGCATTTATCAACTCTCAGTGTCCTTCCTGAGTGTAATATGGGTATGTTTTGGACCTTTTAGTTTGCTCGTTTGTTTTGTTACGTACTTTTCTCCACATTTCCCTATTGTGGTTGTATTGTCCATGTTTGCGAAGCAGGGAGAAGAATAAAAATACGATTCACCCCACTTCTCCTTTCGTAACTGGAAGCTTCAGCTCGCACTTGCGTTTTCATAGCAGGTGAGTGCACCTTCCTAGTTGCTGTGCTCTGTGTAGCTGGCTGGCCTTGGCCTTGCCCCCCAGTACCTCCTGTGCCCCCCAGTGCACAAGAGGTCATCAGAACTCCGGAGGGATCCCTGGAAGAAATTCAAAAATCAGTGATGAATAGGAGATGTGCAACTCCACTGATTTGTTTTAATTCTTTTTTCCTTGGCCACTTTTTTTTTTTTTTTTTTTGGTCTTTTTGAGGCAGGAACTTGCTATGCAGTTCAGCCTGGCCTTAAACTTACTATGAAGCCCAGGATGGCTTGGAAGTTGCAGTGATCCTCCTGCCTCAGCCTCCCGAATGCTGGGATCACAGGTGTGCGCCACCACACTTGGCTCTTTGGGCACTATCTTTATCTGACATAATCTTCCCTGGTAATTGTGAGTCACTTTCCCCTTTATAATCATTAGCCTATTATTTTTCCTAAGCTTTTTAAGATTTGTTTTATTTCTTTCTTTTTTTCTTGCCCTACCCTTCCCTTACTCTCCCTTCCTCCCTTCCTCCCTCCCTCCCCACCCTCTTTCATTAAGAAAAATTCCTGGTCAGTTTTCTGTGGAAATCTTACATTTTTCAGTTTCTCTTGTTTTGGCCTTCCTTTGTTATTTGACTTTGTATCTGTTTGCCCAGTTACCACCAGATTTCTCATTCTAAGGCACAGAAATTCATTTTGAGGCTGAAAACCTTGATTATTGACTTACCTAGGATTTGTATTTCTTATAAGACCCCATTAACTTTATTGCAAAGTCATTACCAGAAAATGCGTTTTGTTCTTTATAAGCATTTTAACCTCAATTATTTTTTATTGAAACATTGAATTTTGCCATTTTCTCCTTTCTTTTCCCATGGTTCCTTCCTACCTTTCCTGCCCAGTCTTCTGTCTTTCCATCTTTGGCCTCTTTCCCCTGCCTCTTCTCTACCTCTGTCCAGTCCTCCAACTACTCAGAAGGTTCTAGAATCTGACTGTTGTTTTATTCTTCCTTGTTAAAATGTGAACCTCTTGGGGCAGAACTGTGAGGAGTCACTGGAGGCCTCGTCCTCTCCTCCCACAGCTCATGGGTCCAAAGGGCGCGGTGCCTGACCTGGACTGCTCACACCAGGCACAGGATGGGGATAGCATAAGTGGCCCGTAGGCGACAGACATGGCTATTCCTGAGTAATCTGTAGTATAAGAACCTTACCATGGATGTCAGTGATTTATGACAGCATTTGAAGGAAACACCTCTTACCATTTTAGTTGACACCGTCATAATTCCATAGAACAAAGCATCCAGACCCCGCTTCCTGAGGCGGGGCAGCGTTGGTCTTGACTCCAGCACCCTAAGGTAGAAGGTGCTGGTCCTGGGGTCTGCGGAGGTCTCGCATGCTCTGCTGCCCTGACTGAAACCGACTGCCTGACCACTCAGAGTGCTCCCTGCTGCTTTCTTTGGCTTCCTACACCTCATGCTTTTTGTCGGTTTGTTACTGGGAAAGCAGTGTCACTTTTCCTTCACAGTGCAGGGAGAAAGGCAAGGGGCATGAAGAGAACACAGGTGAATTTATCGCCTCTTCTCACATTTTCCTGAAGTGGTGCTTTGGCTTGACAATTTACAGGCTTGCTGCCTCTCTCTTTCTGTGTCTCCGTCTCTGTGTCTGTCTCTCTCTTTCTGTGTCTCTCTCTCTCTCTCTCTCCCTTCAGCTGCAGCCAAGGCTGCAAGAAAGCCATGGGTGGATTACCTAGGATTTGTGTTTTCTACACTTAACGTTTCCTCCAGTACGGAGGTTAATTGAAAGTTGACAGTAATTGCTTTATGTGAACATGAAGTACTAAATATGATTTGGTGACCCTTGGACCTAACACATCTATTTCACAGATTCTTTTATCTCAAGGATATATAAAAATAATGAAACATTCCAATCAAAGCTAATTGGACTAAAGTATTTCTCTGCATGACCTTGAAGAAATCAGGCAGGGTTGCTTGAGTGAATATAACATGTTATCTTCCTGATTGGTGCCGAGTCCCATAAATGCAAAGCTGGCCTTGATTAGTAACGCTAATGGCCGGAAACCACCACCGGTCCCAGAGCCTTGCAACTCATTTTGCAGGGATAACCCACGGGAGGCTCTTCTTACCATGTGTAGTTTATTTCTGAACCCCGTCACCCTTTTAAAGAAGCATTACAAATAATTCCATGACATTATGTGGTCTGGAAGCACTGAAGTTTATTAGGCACAATCAAGCCCCAAATGCCTTTTGTCTCCTGTGAGTTTGTTGATTCTTGTGCTGGCAGTTAAGAGAGTTCTAGTTAAGAGAGTAGGCTTATGCGGTCAGACAAATAAGCAAAAAAATTATGATAAGCATGGAGCCCCAATATGTGTCTCTAACATCTTTCAAAGGCAGCTCCTTTAATGAAAAGGAACAGGTGTGTACTTTCTATTAATGTTCTAACCTGGGGTGGGCTTCCAGAGTTATTAGGGCAAACCAGCATGCATGTGTATGAACTTTTCTAGAATTTGTTCTTCTTCTGTGAGTTTAGGCTCAAGGTTTTTGTTAAATGACCATTTCAGATATAATAATCTTACCTGATGGAGCCTTGATGAAGATTTTTATATGTACTGAACTCTCCCACAATTTGTTTGTACTTTGGTGGGAACTGCATGGTATTTGCTTCCTTCAGAAACATATGGAAAATGGAATTTTAAAACTCCAAGAAAAGTAGGCGACAGTTATTTTCAAAAAGTAATTCCGCAAAGTCTTTAAATTTTGATATACTAGACAACTGAAGAAAAATTTCATTCCACTACAATTCAAAAAACTTGTTTTGAGGCAGGGTCATGCTATGTAGTTCAGACTGAT